CATTAGATGCTGTTAATGTAGCTGTTGCTCGACTGGGCAATCAATCCAGACCTCCTTATCTATCTGAGGTCCATAAAGCCGCCATAGCAGGTCAGGATAATGAGAGGGATATGAACCTATGGTCCAGAAGGTTGTCTTCTTCATTGGCCTAATAGTTGTATGTTCATATATATCTATCATAACCATGTTGAATAGATATTGATGTCCGGAGTGACAGATTGGATTTAGAGCCTATGTGGGTTTTCTTATAGCTTTGTCAATAGTGGTGTCACACAAACCAACCTGTAGTGACTGAAATGAATTATTTGTCTTTTGTCTAATTGTGAATCATTTTGTTGCTATATTAATTTAGTTAACCTAACTTAAATGTAAAGTTACTGTCACCGGTAAATGACAGATGTGTGTTAGTTTACTTGGTGTAACGAACATTCTCGTTGGCATTTAATAAACATCATTAAAAGGCTTGTTCTTTTTCATATTTTTAATTTTTGGGGGGCTAAATTAATAGCCAATTGTTTGGCTCAGACTCGGGCTTGCTTTTGTCCTCGTGATCTAATGCTGGGAAAGCTTCTATTATTTCTATCTGGCTGTTACAAAACAGATAATGTACTTCACATGATGCGTAACACTATTAAGAGAGCGCGCCGGGCACAGTTAGAAGCCCACGGAGATGGTCTCTTGTAGTATTTTGCTAAGGAGGTCCCGGACATACTAAAGATGCGAGAGAGACTGACTCATAGTATCTTGACGACAGCTTCTCTCCTGCCAGTTGGCAGAGATTCAACAGCATTCGCAGCTGTGAGCGGGCAGGGTGATTGTTTACACTGCCTGCTGAATAGCTGCTGATCTGCTGTATTCAGCCCATCTTGCTGGATAATTGGAATTTGGGCAAGCTGAAAGCACATCCTGTATACTGTCTGGCTCAGTGTATAAAGGGCAAGACTGGCGTGGTCCTGTCAGGGCTGTTGTATTTTAAGTAGAGTTTTGAGACTGGTACTTGCTTCATGATCATTTAACCTTAATATGTGGCTAGGAAAATGTTTGATATCTTAATTGTACAGATGCAAGAAGAAATGTATTATTTGTAAGGGTGAGTTTATATGAGTTTGAGTAAAAGATATGTGTTGCAACATCTTAAGTTAAATGCATACTTATGAATTTGACGGACTTTGCATGTTGATAGGACTCTAGCCTAATTATTTTTTTCCTTTTGTGAGAAGGCTACCAGTATCATTACAGAACTTTACGGGATATATATTCATCTTAAAAATGGTCATCTGCAATGCATTTGGTAAATTTAAGCATTCCAGTGTTTGTCACCTCCTACTTAATATGGCTGTAAAACTGAGATGGATGTGGCTACTTTTCGACAGCTATTACTCAGGAGGCCCGTAAATTTGATTGGCTGCTGCAATTCAAGCAGAATCATTCGATTTGAGAGTAACAGAAAGATAAGATATCCAATTATCCAAATAATTTGCAGGGTTAGCTACTGTTGCCATGGAGACCTGAGTTGGAACAAATTAAATTTTAAGCAATGAAATAATCTTAAAGTGCGCATGGGAATAGGAAAATTTGGCTGTGGCACTTGGGTAAATTGAATCTAAGCTTGACATGCTATTGTATGACATTGATGTACTACTGGTATAAAGTTTTAATGGCACTACCTTGCCTGATTCAAAATAACTGCTGCATTTAGAATATCAATATAAAAGGAGTTCATTGCATTTATTTATCTAACAAGGACAATGTAATGATTTTGAATCTTATCAATCTGCATTTTCTCAGACCAATAAACACTGTGGTTCAGAGCTCCCTTTTATCTCCAAAGAAAAACCAAATGCTTTTACTTAACTAATGTATGCATTTGCATAATTTCTACAGAAAATCTGTCCTTGCCATAAGTATGCATTTGAGTATCTATCTTATCATATCTTTATTCCATACTAAATTGTGAACTGTTGTCATTACAAAAGATGAATGGTGCAGCTTAGTGAACACTGGGATTTTTGTATGCAGTGGTAGGTTTCCATCAGTGCCAGTTTAAACGTTTGCTACACTATTTCAGTTAATCTGAAAATAACTTTCCAGAATTCAAATTTCTTAATTAATCTTAGTTAGACCTCATGAAATAAATCTGTCCCAATTATATACTTGTAGGTAGCTGTGTCAGCATGCGTAGGCTGCAAAGGAACAAGTAAAAGTTTATTCTATGCTGAAAAGAGAAGAAAAGAAATGCAACGTTTCACCTTGAAGAAGGCTCCACAGCCGAAACCTTGTTTTTCTTCTTTTCAGCATGAAATAAACCTTTTACATCTTCCTTTACGTACTTTTAAGATCTTTAACGCCTTTTAAAGTGAACCTCAGAGGTTTTAAAGGTCCCATACTAATTCTAATGTCATTTGGGAACCAAACTGGCCCATTAAACCACTGCTTGGAGTCACTTTCGCAGCACCAGTAAGGGAACTCTCCCATTTCCCTCCTGATACCTATAATACAGTCTATGACTGCTTGCCTGGGGTGGGTTATGTGGTATGTGGTTATCTGATCTACAGCAATGGTGTACAGCCAGAACAGGTCACACCCTAAGAAGCTTGTCAGTAGCTTGTCAGCTTGTACATAGCCATTCTTTATTGGTCAAGGGCAATCCCTTGACAATCCACATTCTAGGCTTTAATATTTTTTTTGGGGAAAATTATTCTTAATTATTCTGATTAATCAGGATTTTTATAGGATGTCATTTGTTTTAGAAACTGAATATGATCCTGATAGTCCCTGACATTGTCCATATTGAAGCCCACTAAGAGAGTTCACTGAGTTTAGGCTATTAATGTTCCTGCAAATCTTTAGCAGTGGGGAAAATGTTGTTTAAAGAGGAAATGTCCCTCTAACAGAAATCACAGCAGACTGAAACTTGATATCCATACTACATTGAAGACTGCTCAGAAATATTACTCTATCTAGTCAGCTTGTACTGTATATAGGAGATCATACTGAAAACAGGTATGCTGTGATATGTAAAATGTGTGATGGTAGAACCCATTACCACCAGCTAGCCTTTACTTTTTGTAACCTGCTGAATATTGAGACAACATCCAAATGTTAAAATTGCTGAAATCTGTGCAAAGCAGCATTGCTTAATTTTTCTTGAGCCTTATCCATGTTGAGATCTGAAGCTGAGTTCAGTGCCATCACTAAGGAGGAAACCATCCTTTAAATAGTAGATATCCAATTGCTGTAAGTTGCTGGACTTTATTAAGTGCTCATTAATGAATTGTCAGTTGACAGTTTGCAGTAAATGTAAAGAAAGTCTGTGCTGCAGTTATACCTGATGGTTAAGAATGCTTACAGGTGACAATATTTAGGAGTTTTGGGACTGTATGACAAATTTGCTGAAACCATGTGCTTTGGCAAGAAAGTATGTTTAAAGCACCTTCTTATTAATGTTCTATTCATTAAAAACATTACTTGATGTAAAGTGTTATTATCTTTCAATAATGCTGCTGTACATATGTAAACCTTCAAATCTATCATAGCTTTAGGTCTTTAATAACGCATGAAACTTATACCTTTATAACATTTTAGTTTCAGTTTTACTAGAAATATGTATTTGATGGATGTGGAATACAGTGCTGTACTGGAGAAATTGGCTTAAGCTTTGATGTTCCTTTTTAGATAGCAGCGCAGTAGAAACGAGGCATGGATGGGGCCTGGTTCTTTCAATTTGTCAGTGAAAATGAGAAATTAATATTTCACAGTTTTATGGTGTTGTTACTTGATCAAAGCATTCAGCCTCTAATTAGTAAAAAATTAAAAAGTGAGCTAAAAAATAAAGAGGTAAGCTTCACGCAGACTACTTAATCATGCAAAATGCAGGAGAATTCCTTCATGTTAATTTTAATGATGCTTCAAAAGGGAGGAAAGCACTTAAGTGAGGGGCCCGCCAAGCTTGTCATTTGCAAATAAATCAAAAGGCCATCATCGCTGTAGCAGGAGCTGATGAATGGAATTGCTTTGTCATTCTTTGATAGGCCTTGCTCTTAAGCCTGCTATTAAAAATGAATGCAAACGTTCAAGAGGCTCTGCATTAGGAACATAAACAATTAAGGGCACTTGAGATGCTCAGCTAAGAGCTGCCAGACAGATACAAGAGCTTTCTCCTGGAGACATGGCCCACAATCTGCCTTGCCAGAGAGCTAAAGAGAAAGCTCAATTAGTGTAGCCAGGGCTAGCCAAGCAGCTTTCAATCCTAGTTTATCTTTTTTCCTTTCATTGTTTTAAATGCAAAATACTTGAAGTCCATTAATCAGTACACGATGGCTGTTCACACAGATGGAAGCTGCTAGCCTTCAATGCAGATGCTTTTGGAGTGTAACTCTTGGAGGATTTTAATAAGCATTGAAAAAATATAGCCACAAACAATCTGCTTTTTCTTGGATGGGTCAGTTGACTTACTGCTTTTACCATGGCTATGGGAAAATAGAAATAAATGCTTGCTATTTTTTTTTTAGCATGGAGAATAAATTTGAGCTTGAATTTGCAAATTATATAGAAAAGTATGATCACATACTGCTTTAATTCAGCTGACAATATTGATTTAGTATCCGTGGTTTTTAGTGGAGCCCATTCTGTTCATCTAAATTGTTTTTTATCTAATTAAGATCATAGGGAGTACCTTTCTGTACCTCTTTGACATGGGTGCTGGTACCAATTTCAAAGGTTTTTGGTTTCCAATAAAAAAAACAAATTGCCGAAAACATTTTTACTTGTGTATTATAATACATAAGTAAGTCTTGTTTTTAATTGTCATTCAAGTTTTGAATGGGAAAATGCTTTTAATATTTACCATTTTCAGCTATACGGTAGTTGTGAATACATATGGCAAGTTCACAACAGTTTTTTTATCGACTTAAATTTGGATAATAGATGCAAATGTAATATTACATAACTCTCAACTGTTGTTTTATATTTTTAAACCCTGGTGTTTTTTTTCCCTACAGACTGAGATCGCTAAGAGGCTGAATACAATTTGTGCACAAGTGATCCCATTTTTGTCTCAGGAAGTAAGTAAACCAGCTCAGCTAAAGTTCACTTGCCTTTTCTGTTTTCAAATTGTCTGCTTTTGAAATGTTATTTTTGGCAAGGCATATGTCAGAGAAAGATCTGTTCTTCCCGCAGCTTGAAATGTCTTGTTGATTAGTCTGGAGGAACGGGTGGTAGATCATAAACACCAAGATGACAGATGAACCTCAGATTTAATCTTTGTTTTATAATGCTTGAACAAATACTATTTTTAAGGAATATTTCACAGCCATTTTCTTCAGTGTTTAGTCAGCATTACATAAAACAGACTGAAAATCCATTCATCTGTAACCCCTAACACATGAGTAATATTGCACGATCATAACATGCTTTATGAAAGTCTCCTAATTAACACTATAGTAGTTCAGGTGGGTATTTGTGTCCGCTACAAAGGAAAAAGTAAAAGTCTTCCACCGCCTTCACACCCAAAGAAGGCTCCACAGCACAATGTTGTGCTTCTTTCAGAATGGAAAAAACTTTTACTTGTTCCTTAATTAACCCTATGTAAAGTTTGGCTTCCTTTTAATTTATAGCAGAATAAAAGGTTGAACAAAGAGGCAAAGGCACAAATACATATTGGACTGTGACTCTTGCATGTCTTTCTGATCATCCTGGTGCCAGTCAAGAGTTGCAGGAGGGGGATAATCTGAGAGACTAAGAAATGGCTGGATGTTTTTTTTGGGTTGCATGTTGGGACAAACAATGAATATGGAATCCATACATTTGCAACATTGCTTTTTGAGAGGTTCACAACTTTACAATTTTTAGATCGTACAGTAAATATCCGAGTCTTTTATTTCATTTCAATAAACATTATTGCAATGAAAACCTTCTGAAAATGAATAACACAGAGAATTATGTTAGTCTCTGTCAACACTAATTGCTGTGTTGTATCAGTGGTCATGTGCTCATGGTGTTGTGTGCATTGTCATTGATACAGAAATTGGCCAATTATCTGAAAGACTTCCAGGCTGTTGCTTGTCTATGAATGATTTTTTTTTAAATTTTTAGTTGATTTAACACCCCTTGGAAAGTAACAATATATTTTACAGTTTTTCTGTCTTGATTTGTGCTGAACTGTATTGGCTGGTTTATTGTATAGGGTTGCTGCAGCCTGTAACATGCCTCTTATGCTGAGATTGTATTTTGGAGAAGCTCTAAGTGCTCTAAAATCCCAAACAGGCCATTATAACATTGTCTTAATAGAGATGACTTCCCTATAAAAGACTTGTTTGACTTATTAATATATTATATTGAGCATGTCATTGGATTATTGGTAATAGTACTTATTCTGATCTACACACCTTTTTAAAGCTCCACTCAATGTCATTAGCTTAGTGCTTTACACAGAAATGAAATCCATGAGTTCTCAGTTATTTCAACCATTTTATGGATTTTTTTTGTTTTATTTCGATTTCTTTTTTTCTTAAAGAGCACAGTACCGAAAAACAGGTTTCAAAGCGCTATACATGGACTTACTGTGAAATAATGGAAATAATTAAATTTCCCCTTGTCCTTGAAAATCATGGAAACAAATTAGTCAACACCTTAATAATTCCTTGCATTTTATATAGAGCTTTTCATTCTAAAGTACCATAAAGCGCTTTGTATAGGAGTGAGTCCACCCTGTACCATTGAAGTGCAGCACCCACCTGGGTGATGTGAATAATGGTTGCTCCATCTGTTGTCCCACTACAGACCAGAAAGTCTCTCCACCCAGCATTAGCCAGCCCCAGCCTTACTTAGCTTCTGAGATCTAACAGTACATGACCAGGTTGGGCTACAAGTTGGTAGCCTTGCTGCCATTCATTCTGGGTGCTGAAAGATTGCTTTTTGTGCACAAAAAGGTGTTTTTAGATAACTGATTCTCCATATGGACTGCAATCCTTTGTGTGCAGTGTTTATAATCATGTTACACTTCTGCTGGAAACGCAGATTAGAAGGACATTTCAAATTTTCCAAAAACTGCAAGAAAAAAAGTCCACAATTTATGTCTTGTGATGTATGGACAAAAAATTACCAAATGCAGAACATTACACGCTGTTGTATTTCTATACCCTGTGGAGGTTACCGATTTAAGCAGTTACTTAAAATATTTAATTTTCGTGTTTCGTGTTAATATTTTTATCTACAGCCTTGTCTTGTATATACTTGAGGTGGGTAGCTGCGTCAGCATGCGTAGGCTGCAAAGGAACAAGTAATAGGTTTATTCCATGCTGGAAAAAAAATAAGAAAGAACACAACGTTTCGGCCTTGGAGCCGTCTTCAGGTGTCACCTGAAGTGACACTTCTTCACCTCACCTGAAGAAGGCTCCACGGCCGAAACGTTGTGTTTTTTTTCTTTTTTTCAGCATGGAATAAACCTATTACTTGGGCAGGTATTGACCATTTGCATATACTGTATTTAATGTGTGTGTGTATATATATATACATATAATATATGCAGTGCCTTCCAGATGTATTCAGACCCCCAATAAATAAAAACAAAATGATAGTTATAGATGTCTTGCTAACAAAATATCAGGTTCACTTTCCACATTCCTGGTTAGTATTGTACATATACCAACTGTTAAATTTTTTTTTTTTCCCCAACCGTAGGTGCAAATGTCTGATGCCGCTAGTCTAACATACAGCACCAGACTATTTCCAAAGTTAGAGGACTATATGAAAAGTAATTTCTTTGAATTCTGAATTGGTCTTTACACAAAGGCAACAAAAGATAGAAATGTTCATATTTTTTTTACAAGTACAATATGAAATGTAAGTACAAGGGAACAGATGTAACCAGGAAGGAAAACTTGTGAGAGGTGCACAAAAACCTTTGATGAATAAGGTTTCAGAAACTAACTTGACATAAACTGTAATGTTGATTCCACAGAGAACAGTGCACCATCTGAAGATATAGGTAATTCAAGCAAAAACATGAGGTGCAGCTTAATCCCACTGGGACTTGGCCACAACCGCTCCCAAGCACATCCTGCTTCAGAGCCACACAGCGAGCACGACATGGCATCTAGAGGGGAAGCCGGCAACTGTCTGCAAGCTCAATGCAGAGCATGTGTTACACAAGTGCAGCTGGTATTGCTCTCAGTGGTGGTCACACATGACTACCCTGTGGCTTTTGCAGTTTTTGCAAGAGGCCATCAGTGAATCAGTTCTTAATCAGCATAATGAATTTACCCAAGTCCACTCAATACTATATCGGTTTCAAAACCTGCCATGCAGTATAGTCAGTTTCTGGATCATAAAGTCGGAATTTATTGAGTATTTTTTATGCTTACTATTAAACAAATTATATGTGGATCCATTTGTCTGAATGACCTTATTACGGTGATTAAGATTTGTAAAATGTTAATGTACAACCTCTTTTTACTGTTGGAATGTAATTTTAACTTCTGCATCTTATTTATGTTTTTTCACTCTACAAAACATATACGTGGGTGTTTTACTTTGTGTACATGTTACAAAATTAGTTTCTAGCTCCCCATTCACAATTTGTTTTTCTGTTTTTATTCACCTAGCACCAACAGCAGGTTGCACAGGCAGTGGAAAGAGCTAAACAAGTTACCATGGCAGAACTGAATGCTATCATCGGGGTACGTGGCCTTCCAGGTCTCCCTCCTACAGTGTGTATACCTTTCTATTACTTACTGCTTGGGGTTGTGGGTCAGGGGGTGTGGGGGACTGTGAAACTGCCCTGTGAATTCTTCTGAGGACACCTGCGGCACTGTACCTGTTTAAGGTGAAATACACTGTGAAACAGAATAACGCATAGCTATACCACAGCTGAGTACATTTTAGCATTATACAATAGTAGTATGCTTCCAAACATCTCCATAAAGCCACACTGTCCATCTCAATAAGTTCTCTCAGTGCTTCCCCCTAAGCCACAAAAGACATCAGGTGCACCCTAATGTATTACGCCCATTATGATGTCTGTAGTGGTACTAAAACGTCTGTGTGCAATCACTTTCAGCTTGAAACACCACAGTGCAAAACAAGCAGTTTCATGGATTGTTAGGTGGCAATGTCTCATTTTTAAATCCAATATTGGCTCCTGTATCTTTAAGTGCTGTACAGCCAACTTTCGTGTGTAAGTTTGTAGAAATATGCACAGTAGCTTCCAGTTCTTTGCATGTTTTTGATGCTATGTAACTGAAATGCTCCATCATAAAAAAAAATCCAGTATGCTCGGGTTTTGTTGCATTCATTAAAAACACAAAAAGGTGCAAGACTATCAGTTTTGCACAAAATGAATTTATCCCAAATAATTACATCTAAATGCCCAAACTTCAAAGTTGTTAACAGCTTAACTCTTCAATCAGCTGCTTCTTCTATGGCTTTGATAACATAGAGATGGCTTTCCCTGGAACTTGTGCTTGTACTGTGCTTTCCTTAGTTCATGTCATGTTCTTTTGGATTGTTGGTTTGGAGATTGTGGTGACCAGTCTTGAACATTCAGACGCATCTCATGGTCTCATTTGACATGGGAGGTAGTTGCAGTTTTGGAATAATTCATGACTCATGTTGCCATAAACTCGGCTACAGACCTCAAATTCATTAGCTGAATCTTGTATTGCAGTTTTGAAAAAACACTCTAATGGCCAAAGTTTTTTTTGAAGATTCACAGTTGTTGCCCTTAGGTGCAAATTAGACTTCCCAGCCACTATTCTGACAATACATATGGATAAAACTTTCCTATATCTTGTTCCTTGTGGGATAACCTGTTAACCTTGAACTAGGTAATGGGCATCAAAGTAAAAACGTTGATGTCTTATGGATTTTTAATAAGCCATTAATAGACTTTAAGTCTCTGGATATTATCTGACATGGTACTGTTTTTAGTCTCAGTGTCTTGTACCCTTTTAACCTTTATTTTTAGTTAAGGTGATATCCAGAATTTTATATAAACTTTCTGAAGGGTTGTGAAGCTACCAGATGACTAACAACATTTGAAGAATACACATTGTCATTATATGAACAATATTCTTTTAAATGCTGTTTGGGCTGAGTCTCAATTTTAAGAGAAATAAATCTTCTTAATGAGCAATTCCAAAATCCAAAAAGGGAAGTGTCCATATGAAATCTTAATCAGTAGATGTTAAGTTGGCAAACCGATTTCTACTGTGGATCAGGTGAAGAAGTGAGAAATTGCATCAGTGCTTGGAAAGACTCTGCTCTGTCAACTCTACTATACCTGTAAGATGTTGGCCAAATACGGGTGGTTGTCTATAATGGTATTGAAAGGGTTCTTAGTTTCTGTTAAAGGAATTATTTTGTTTTTAATTTCAGTGTAATTGGTAATAGTACCTTCACTTGGTATAAAATACACTATTTTAAGGTATGGAGTCTTTAAAATGTTGTTTCACTGAATTATTCAGGAACTTTTTTTATTTTGATAAAGTTAACATTATGCCGTTACGAAGTTACATTTTTGAAAATTTCTAAGCCGCAACAATCATACTTTTTATTATGCCATCTAAATGAGCTCCTATGGTCTTATTTATTAATCCTGTTTACTCATATTTTAAGCACCTGTTCCCTAAAGATTGTTATACAACCTACAGTAACATTGAGATTATAATTTATGAAAGTTCTTTGTGTGGTATGCTGTTGACCAAAGACATGAGTGGGCAGTGGGCACGATACTAGTGCAATGGATTATTCTTTGGTTCTGGAGAAAGGCGTCTTTTATGCTTCAGGAGGCTACACTGAAAAGGCTGGTTTTTGAGGTTGGCAGCGTGGCATTGGAGATGTTCCATAACACATTTTTATTATGTAATTTAAATTACATGTATAGTTTAATTTCCTCTTTGAGTTGAAGACAAAAACAATTTGCTGGGCACAAGATATGGTGTGAAAAAATAACATTATAAAGAGTCCTTTATGTAAATAGTTTGATCTTTTTTTTCCCAAAATAGCGTTCACTTTGAGCAACTATACAAAGAGAATATATATGTGTGTTTTGGAGGGGGGGGGCAGGTCTATGGTCATGAAATGTAAGTAGCCTTGTTTCTTGGTTGACAGACCTTGGTATAATTCTTGTTTTATTAAATTATGTTTAATGCTCTGAAATGTTTTCTGAAATTGCATTCTCTTTGCAGAAAGCTTGGGAGGGGGCTATTTACATTTTACTCAAAAGAGGATGCCTCCTAATTGCCTCTTTTCACTCCTTTTAACCATTTTGCTGCTAAATGCAGGAGATTGTTTGCTTCCTTGTTGAACTGACTAGCCATCAGTCACTCTATTTTTGCATTTCAAATGAGTTTAATGAAGCGTGCAGACCTGCCATCCAATAGGCTGCTGTTTGTCTTCAGATTCAGAAAAATTCCCAACGTTTTCGGTTGCTCAAGGTTGGAAAGAGAATTAGCTGGGACACGAGAAATAGACATTAAAAATATTCCAGCATTAGCAGCTTGAGCAGATTCAAATTACTCATTTATCAATTTATGTTAATTGCTTGTGAGAAGATGCCCTGCTGGTCTTTATAGTTTTCTCAGACACTTTGTGATGATAATTAGACATGCTGCTGTACGGATTAATGCTGGCACAGACCAGTGACGTGCATAGACAATGGAACCAGTTAATCCATCTGTGCTTAAAACTACATCCCTACTGGAGATGGGTTTTATTTTATTTTTTTTTCTTATTCTTTTGGGTGAAGGGGGAGGAGGAATAAGTGCAGGGGATTAGTGCTGATAAAAGAATTGGCCTCAGCTTGAAAACTTTCCTTTCATCAGTTTCTCAATTGCAGCTCTGCAGTCAATTTGCCTGTGGTAAGCTATTGGCAGTCAATTAGGTGAAATAAACTGGGAGGGTGACCTTCACTTCCTTTTAATAGCTTTTTCTCCCTGAACCGGTGAGCTTCAGTGGATTTTCAGCTTAAATTTTATTCATGCCGCTTTATAATACTTGACAGCTTAGCCTTGCATAAACATACAGCCCTTTTGTGTGCCTCCCTTCTCAAATTGTGCTCCCACCCCCCTTGTCTATCAGATTTGTATTGCTACTCTTTGGGTTCATTGAAATTTTTTGGAAAAAAAAATTTGGGTTCAAGTGCTGGTAAAAGGTTCTGGTATGAAAGGATCAGTCAACGGTAACTACGGCCATTCTCATGCAAAAAACAGCGAATACAAATGATGGGCCATTTTGTTTTAAGGAGAAGGGAAAAACGGGCAATGGACTTTTCATGTGCTTTTTATTATTTCTGTGCCTAAAGGTTAAATGCAGATTGTTGAAGTACCCTTACAGGCAAAATGGTGCCTCCCACTTAATCTTAAATTCAGACTGCTCAATTACTTTCCTTAAAATCCCAGTTCATTTTATCCTATTTGAAAATTAGCCTTGAATTATGAACATGAATGGATGATGTACAATCACCTAAAGATCCTTTCATTTGCTTTCACACCAAAAGCAAATAATGAATCATGAAAATGTTGATTTACGTTTATGCACATTAGGTTGTGGAACATGTAAATCCTTGAAGCTGATTTCCTTGACTTGCTTGATTTCCAATTGATACTAAGGGAGTCTAACTTTTTATTTTAAATCTCTCCAACCATGCACTTCCAGGCTTAAGTGCTCCATAATTATGTTTTAGAGTACAATGGGTTTCATGCTCTGGCACATGCTTGATTTTACTTGAAAGGGATTGTGTGCATCCTGACAAAATGAAGCGGTGTAAAATCGGGTTGACAATTCACTAGACCTTTAGTCTCCCTCATTGCACATGCAATGTGTCAACCTGTCTCCCCAGGGGAGGAGGCTGCAGGAGCCTGTCTGCTCCTCCTAGCAGCAGCCAGGGCTGCAGTAAACTCTGCCCAGTTTGATAGCAGCTGTCAGTATTGTTCTGGGATCTGACCCATTGGTAAGAACAATGAGGGGACATGCTCTTAAACCACAGCAGCATTTAAGCCAAGAGCAGACGTAGATGTTTGATGGTTTAGACAGCTATTTGCAGCATGAAAGATCTCCTAAGTAGGGGAAAAGTCTTGTCAGTGTATGTGTCAGAAAGGTATGATCAATTGTTTCCATATGCTTGCGATTGAACAACCTCAACTGACCTGTACCTCTGTGGAGTTTCCGCACGTGTAAGCTTGTGTATACAAATGTAATGTATAGGCCCTGGAGTTTCTTGATCATGTGCTCTTCAGGGCTTCTCACTGTAGGTCAATCATTAATCCTTCATGCATCCCTAGACATGCAGTCATTACTTAGATGTCCAGCATAATTTCTAATCTGATAATATGAAGATATTGATGCAAATCAGTAAATTTATGCAATTAAAAAGCATAAAGAATAATTAAAAACTTTTTAATTGCAGTTTATTTTAATTCATTGAATGAATGCATCTATTCACCTGGTGTCCAGCACATCAACAGACAGGACTTAATTTGACGTAACCTGAATCACAAGATAAAAAGGAAGTCATGGAAAGAGTCAAGGAAAACTCCAGCCAAGTGTATATAGTACACGCACATAACTAATAACAGAATTGCTTTTCTTATCTGTTATAGTTGGGGAAATCCAGTGCTGGCTTTTGTAACTTGGGGAATTTCATGTATCATGTACTGTATGGTATGTGAGTTACTGTGACTCACAATGATAATCTGCAGAGCATTTTGGAAAGGAGCTGGCAAGACAAAATCCATGTCTTAAATTCAGGAGCACAGACCAGGTTCAAAATGATAAAAAAATGACTTAAACATTGATTTTTCAGAATATTGTTTTCAGGTCTGATCCCTCTGTGAGGAGCCCTGAACATCCCATCTGGTTGCCTCATGAGAAGTGCCCCCTTATCTCTACCTTTGTTAGTAATATCAATACTCTTACCAGACGTGAACATGAGATGCAGAATGTCAGTGAAAGCCAAAGGAAAATTGCCTGCTTTGAGCTGCAAGAATCAAATGATTTAAATGAAAGTATTTCTTGAATATAAAGTGATGTTTTAAAAATTGAATTTATTTCTTTGCCACAGTGGGTATGCTTTTAGTTTGGCTAAAAGTGAATGTGAATGTTTCTAATAGACTGTTTTCATTTTTGCTGCATTACTACTAAAAGTAAAGATAAGGATTAACAGGATATCTTTCCCATCATACCTACATCACAGTATTGATGTACAATATAAAATGTAAAGCATTGCAAGAAAACTGATAAAGTAATTTATAAGTTCTGCTTAAAATATACAATGGATTTTACCTCCGCACTGTATATGATATTATCCAGTATCTCAATGCTGAAGTATTTTACAGGCTCCTCCGACAATGCTTGGTAATTTAAATACTTTTATAATGGTAGGTTGTCTTTCTTAAGTACCCCCAGAAGTATGTTAGCTGAAAAAACAAGTGCCTAGTCTTTGCCTGTGCTGAGCATCTCTTGTTATAAACAGCTCTGCCCACTTGGAACTATTTTTATCAGAGCTGTGGTTAATTGCTGCCATAGAGCAGGCTCTGCTTTATGCATTGCTGGGTTTTTAAAAGAAACCGGACCCAGCTCTTGCTCTTTGAGCAATGATAGTAATTGCTCGTGGGGCAGACCTGTTACTTGGTTTGTTCCACACTGTTCTTATGGCAGGTGTCTAGTTTTTAATTAAGGGCCAATGGACATGCTCAGTTGACCGAAGCATTATTACAATTCTCTTAAAATATAAAAAGACCTTGGATAGAGGTGTTCCATGAAGGTTAATAGAGCTGGAGAGTGACCCAGGTACCCTCAAGTCTGATTTTCTTACACCTCTAGCTGAGTAGCTGTCTTGGGAAATCTTGAAATGTTTTAAAATGTCTTTTTGTAAGTGTATGGTTTAAAGTGGATAGTGTTTAACACTTTTTTCCCCTCTTTATCTTAGTTTGTTTCCTCAAAGAAACATGGCTCTAGCATACCAGTGTCACAAAGGTGTTGCTATTCTGATAAGTAGGGCCTGTTGGTTATTTTTTGTTCTTTCTTGTCAAGCCTTAAGAAAATCCCTAAACAGGTTATATCACCACCTATGTCTAGTCCTTGCATTCTACGGAGAGTCACTCCAGTCATTGAGTTTGTTTGTGATCAGTCATTACGTCATCTGATTAATCAAAATACCACAAGCATTAAATCATTATCCAACATCCCTGTGTGTTTTTTCTAAAAAAGTGCATGAGTAGAGTGCCAGTCTGTTTCGATTCCTGATGTGTATAAATATAAGGAGTTGCAACTACCTTAAGTGATTTGTGCATGTTAGGGGGTAGACCTGTGTACTGTAATAAGTAGCACCTGTAGTATTAGAATATAATACAGCCTGTCGCATGCCATTAAGTGATGTGTGAAATAGCCAAAGGTGTACCTTAATTCAGACTGTCGGAGCACTCTGTTGGTTTTAAGCCTAGGACTATAAAGACAACCTTGTTGACAAAAGCCTTTGATCATACCTGGCAATTTAACATTTTAATGTGTTTTATGTTTTAGTGATATCCATTGGTGTCAAACATTTTGAAGGGAAAATTTATAAATAAATACTGAAAAAAGTTTTAAAAGAAAGGTGCTGAGTACACCACAATTAAATTGAGTCTGATTTCGGCAAAATGGAAATACTTTGTTTAGAACATTTAAAAGGCTTTAGTTGCAGTTTCTGATAATCTTGGTTTGACAGGAAAATAATAAATACTACTACATTACGTAACATTTTTATGATATTGGTCTAATTGGCTTAATCTTTAGCGCAGGAGATTTCAGCAAGTTTAGACCAGATTATACACCGAACATGTGCTTTGTGCTTCCAGTTTTAAAATCAGCTGATTAAAATCACTTTCAAGTGCTTTTGTCTTTCATCTCAGACTAAATTTAAATCTTGAATGCCTAAGTATTTGTAGGAATGTTTTTTTACTAGCTCTAAATTATTTCCAAAGATTTTCATTCTTGTTTGTGCAACACCTTAGCAAAGTTTCTAAGAGAATTTGCTCATATGATTCAGTTTCTCACTGTCAAACAGGTACTTAAATGCTACTGTTGGATGTTTGGTTTCTTTGCTTTTTGGTAGGTGGTATTTGGCTGTGACCAGCATGAAGAGGGAAAAATATAGGGAGTTAAAAATATTCCTTTATATATTCTGCACACTTTTGTTTTCTAAGTAATTCCATAGCTAGCTAGAATGTAATCGCAAGTCTATCCATTGTAAATTTGTGTTTGCTGTGAACAAGCGCACAGCCATGCCTGCTTGATTAGTTATGTCTGAAATTCAAGTAGTGATAGGTTCTGGGTTTAGTATAAAAAAATAAATGAATTATGAAGTGAGACTATGTAAAATCATATATCTTGTTTTGTGTAATATATTTCAGGAAATGTAATTTAAAGTGCATTTTAATTTTGATTCAGTATGAATTACTTGCTTATTTTAGTGAATTGTATATCTTGCATAAAAACTGATAACATACCACTTTATAGTAGAACCTGTTCATTTGGGAAACTCTTATGTTATTATTAATGTTTAATTATTAATCGTTTAACATTGTTTAAGTGTATTCACATGCATTACAGTGTTCATACCCTAAGCATCAATGTGCTAGAGGGGATGGCAGTATATCGGATTGATTACTTGTTTTCTTCATACACTTATTGTTTTTTCTTTCTTTTTTTTTCCTCCCTCCTGTCTCTGCCTGATCGGTGTGCATCCTCACAGCAGCAGCAGCTCCAGGCCCAGCACTTGTCTCATGGACATGGCCCCCCAGTGCCCCTCACCCCCCACCCTTCAGGCCTACATCCGCCAGGCCTGCCACACTTGGGTGGTAGTGCGGGTCTGCTGGCTCTCTCCAGTGCCCTTGGTGGGCAGCCTCACCTAACAGTCAAGGAAGACAAGAAAAACAGTCATGACCCGGATCACCACAGAGGTGAGAGGCCAGGCAAGCTCGATTAGGACCATTTCAGTATGAACAACCACACTTGTTTTCTAATCCGCTTTGTGCTGGCTTTTTTTGGGTTAAGATGCAAGGAAAAAAACACCCAGTTTTTCTGAGACATTTTTGATTGGGGGGGGTTGTGATTGGGTACATTGTGTGAGTGCATAAGTGGGACATTCAGTCGAGGGATGGCGAGTGATAATGTTTTGTTATAAGTTTAAGTGCAAGTTTTGTTTGCATTGAAGAGCTGAGGTCCCATTTTTAATATTTTTTAAATGTTTGTAAATTCCCTATTTCAGAAGAATTAGTTTTCTTGAAGCGGTCTTCAGCTACTGTATTTTACCAAATGTTTGGAATTTGTCAGTCTTGAAAGTGATCACGTTTAAGTTTGTCCTTAGTGTCTGCACTCTATGCTAGAATCCTTATCTTAAGCCTTATTTCCAAAAGTTAAAATTGGTTTTTGAAGGCAATGGATTATTTGTCCATATTGTAAACCACTGATTAGGTTTTAGAATTACAAAGACTGAATCATATGTGGTTTATGCTATGTATTTGAAGTTTTTGTGAAAGGGCAGGCTGCTAAAGTTTTTAATGTTTTTTTTACAAATGATTAAATTGTATTTTTTCATATGCATTAACCAGACAACTGTATCATAGAACAATATATACACCAATGGTAATGTTACAAGTGGAAGGCTATTGTAATCTATTTCTTGGACGTATGGTGGGTAGTGTTTCTGAAAGGGACAGGGCCTCACTTGTAACCTGTCGTTAATTACCTTTACATCCTTTCTTTCATACTTTGGCTGTGGTCTATGTACAAGTTATCATAATGGAAAGATTGCTAAATATGTCGCAGTAGTATACAAACATCTGTGTATAATGCCAACAGGTTATTCGATCCATGCCAAGTGCTCAGTTATCCTACATCATGAACGTCTTTCCTGCAATAATTGACATGCTGTTGCACTTACTTTATTTTGAAACAGATTAAACAATAATTTATTCAGCTATTGCTGCAAAGGGGCAAGGGTTAGTTTGAGAGACTGTAACTATATTGTTACTAAATAAGTGTAAAATTTTCAGGAAATTGCTGTATTAGGAATGTGCAATGATTTCTGTTAATAAAATCTGCTTAAAAACTTGAATTCGCCTGTGTTTTTCTAATTTCTTTTTTTCTTTGTTTTCATTTCTGTTTTTGCACCTTGTTACTGATCGGCCATGTTTGTGCATTTCTTGGTAACTGCGGAAACAGAGAGAGAACCAAGCACAGTAAGTACATTTGCTTTACTGCTAACTAATTTTAATGAACCTATTTGGCAACAGCAAGTAGTTTCTTTAAGAAACCTCAAAAATATATTTTTGTTTTTAATTAAATCGAAATGTGCATGATAACATCACTTAGTTTTCTCACTTGGAAAGGAAAAGGTTTTGTCTAGCATTTTACTGCTAGATAAAAATTCTTGCAAATTGTATATCATCCAGATATTCTTGAGCATATATATCGTCCAGACGTTAAAGCACACAGTGGAACAGAAGTTTTGATTTGTAATAGGTAAATGGGGATGGTAATGAAAACTGGTAAGTGTTCTACACTAAACCACTATGAACAGTGCTTTTGTTTACATTAATCTAGACCTGAACATTAATAATTGCGCCTGTGTTAACGATCCTAATCAGAATTTCCAGTATTGGGATGTTCCACTAGTCCAGGTGTTCCAGTAACATGTTGCGTTATGTTTGTATCTTAGTGGTTTTGGTAGCAATGTTATATGAAAAATAAACTGGTTACAGTTAACAGCTGCTAGTTCTTGATTTTGCTCTTTTGTGTTGATTTTTAACTTCCTTTTGACATAGGCAAGTTAATATGTGATGCATTTTTAATTTTAATATAGTGTTGATGGGTTTCTTACATTTTCTGTGGAATCTTTCTCTTCCTGATCTGGTTTGCACTTTGATTAGGCAAAACATTGATGTCTCTTGGAACAATACAGAATCATTATTTAATCTCCTTCCTTGAAGTTACTGTAACTTTATGTACAGTCATCTACCCTCTTTCAGGCTCCTTGTTAAACAGTAGTAGGTCCAAGACTTTCACAAAACTTTAGTCATGGTTCAAAATTCTGAAAGTTGCAGCTTTCAATTGAAAGGAAATATCCACTTGGTTCAAGTGGTAGTAGTTCTTTAGGCTGAACTGAGAAAAATACAGGTAAAGTGAATATGCTTTAAAAAAATGAAAGATCCGAATGCTTTGTCACAAGAAGGATTTATAAGCATCCCCCAAATTTTCTGATGGTCAAAAATAAAGGGGACATTATATTAGGTGCCTGTGAGTACAATTGCCCTTCTTGGTGTAATATTTAGCGGTACAGCTGCTCTGTATTTAGCTGAAAAATGTTTTGAGAACACATTTCATCAAGTTAAATAGAACAGCAAGCACGAGATTTAGAAAATAGCAAGCAGTCATTAAAGGAATCTGATCACTAAGTTGGTCTCTAGGTAAAACTGAGTAGTATTTTTGTATCTATGTAAGTAAATCTCTTACATATTGATTTATTTTTTTTTCTTTAAGTAGGGGATAGTTTACAATAGTCTTGATGCCCATGTTTATCTCCAGAGAGTTTAGTGACAACATCTGTCACCTATTCATTTGTCTCACCTACTGTTTTCATAGCAAACAGATCTTTGAAATGCAAATGCCCTCAACCATGTTACGCTTATCATAAACATTTGTGGGTTAATGTGGAGTTCAGCTCTATTGTGTCATAAAATTGGGGCAAAGAGGGGGGGGGACAGTGAAAGGTCATGTCTTGGAGGAAAAGGACAGCCAGCCAGGATTTGCAAGTATTTAGCAGCTAAATGCTGATAACACTTTGTTTCTGAAGCCATTTAATTTGCTTATTTCAAAGCAGATGTATTTATTTTAACAACCCCCTCACTTTGCTTGTCCCCACCCACCAAAGGCACTTAGTTTTGAAATGCACTGTTGGAGAGATGTACTTTAAAGGAGCTCTTCACATGGAATTCCCAAAGCAACCTCTGAAGTTTACATGGTAGTAATCGCACTGGATTTTGATGTCAGAAGTTGCAATGATTTTTATTCTTGCTTCGTGACTGTGGAACCATTTGTTTTAGTTTTACTATAGCATGTTAAGATTAAATGGGAGCTTCTTGTTGCACTTCTCACTGAACCCCCTTGTGTACATGTGGGGTAAATGTAGGCCTTTCTCTGTAGCTCAAAAGAGATGTAGCATATGCAGTATATTAGGAATTCATTACTCCACACATCTTCAAAGACTTGAACGTCAAGATTCTCAGAACATTGATGACAATGTCAATTCAATTTTTTAATGTGGTTTGATCCACCGATTTGTTAAATCTGCAGTAAATATCTATATCCTGCAAAGACATTCCTCGTATACCACTGGAAACTACTTGTAATGTAATAATAAGCAATGTAAAATCTATTGGTCACTAAAAAAACAAAATCATAATCAAATGTATATGACCTAAAAAATCCCCAGTCAAGTGCTGTACATGAGTATCTTAATTTGCAACAGGTGCAGTGTTATATCAACACATTGTTACAAGGGCTTAATGATTATCTAATTGTTTAAATGTGCAGTGTTCCACATTATTAGTCAACAGTGCAAGTTCACTGGAGCAGAAAGTGCATTATGCCTGGATCTGACTATTCAAGATAAATGAGGTCTGAGGATCTCCCAGTGTTTTTCTCAGACAAGCATGTATCGCTTTGAAAAAAATATTGTTCTCCAAGGGACACCTGGAAACAAAGCTTAGGACACCTATCTGAATAACAGTCATATCTACATGAAGTACTTCAGTTCACGTGCTCTGTAGTCATGAATGTTTTGCTCATTTGTGGCACTGGTTTATTTTATTTTTAAAAACCTGTTGACTCAGTCAGAGTAATGGTGCAGTATATACATATTTCATTCTTTGAGAGAGGCTTTCCCCAACTTTAAATTGAATGTTTTTTTTCTCTTTTGTAGGTGTTCAGATCTGCAGATTTTAGTTTTTAGCATATGCTCAAATGTGTTCACTGTGAAACAGTAAATCACTGCAGTTTGTAAATAGACCAACAGACCTCATACTAGTGTTGTTAACATAACACTCCCTTGTGTATTTTTTAAAAGCATACTGGCATGATTACAAAATAATGCAGCTAATAAGTAAATCCGTAAATAGTGGTTAGAAACATAAGGTACAGGTTCGTTCGTTCTCCAACCTGTTTGCAGAGGCTTTACATTATAGAACAAGGTTTGTAAAGCACTACAGTACTTGTCAAAACACTTCCTAATTACTTTGCTGAATGTGATGTAAGAAATGGATATTTGATAAATTTGCTTTGTTGCTCCCTTTCCAAAGATTTTTTGGTCAATAATATGATATTTACAAATACCAATCTAGAGTATTATACCATAGTACCCGAAAAGGTTGGAGAATGTGTTCACAGGGATATAAACAATCTAATTGAAATTCAATTTGATCTGAATTTAAACTTTGTTACATGTAGCCAGTTCACCTCCCTGTAAGACTGACATTAAATCCATTTTTTTCTTATCTTTTGAAAAAAGAGGAATCGTTTCATGAAGCCGTGCTTGTTATGATAAAAAAAAACTGTTCTCTGTTGTCAGCAACATAGAGAAAAGGGTAGCCATGATTAAAAATGAATCAGTTGGCAGCCAGTGGAAATGTCATTGACGATAATCGCTTTAATTGAACTACTACAAGATAACATGATGTTCAGTAAAAGTTTTTAAAATTCACTGAAGTACAAGTTAACCTGAATATCATTCAAGTGCAGAAATAAAAATAAATTTAGCCTTCACATTTCAGGAAGAAAGTGCTTTCAGAATCCTAAAAAAAAATGTTTTCTTTCCGAGTATTGTATTCAAGCCCTGTAAATAAAACGGTTAATGTGAAATGTTGTGTCCTGGGTTGATGTGCCTCTGGCATCAACCAGTTGTAAAGGTTATGCTGTGAGTTACTTTAGATTAAATTTCATTGGGGTCTTGTCCGTTTGCTTGCAAGAGCCCCATGGCACTTTCTTCAGCTTGACTGGGCGTAAATGAAAGACAGCTTAGTATTTGGCTGCAAGGGCTGTCCCTGAAGTAGACAGGAGCTGACAGGAGAAAATTTGAAGTGCTTGTGCTTGATGTGTTCTGTGTTTTTATTTTACTCCACAGGAACTGAACATCGTCCTTCTTTAAGACCAGTGAAAAAGATTACCCTTGCTCTCCATGTCTCTTGAAAACCCTTAATTTCCCCAGGATGAGTGTTGCATTTGTAGTCTGGGAAGATCAGATAGCTCTCAAAATGTCTGTCTTTCCCCACTTTCCTTAAAGTGAATGCTGAAGCGTTTACCTCTTGTCAGCTAGCTATAGCAGTAAACAAAATGGCAGCAGCACTGTAAAAACATGGTGTAGGCATATTCTGGTACTCCGATTTATCTTTTGTTTTCAACAATTTTCTTTTTCCAAATGAGGGTTTAGCGGAGCCTTGTGAAAGGGTTTTTTTTCACAGAAATTATTCAGCATTGTTCCTAGTATTTAACACATCACTGAACAAATTGCCCCCTTGGATATGCTAATCCTGTGTTTAAAGGAACTCATTGTAACATGTTTTAATACTTTAGCTGGAGGGGAGATGGGAATCTAAGACGCGTAAAATTATCATGTGACCTGAAAAACATCAAAATTGCTTGTATTTTGCGGGTCAGTGGTTTATTTTGTGAGATCTTTTAAATAATTTACCCTGTGTGGCTTGACATGAAAGCACTGCCTGAGACAGCCCTTTACTTCATCCCCTCGATTTGCTTGTTTATTAATGTCTTTGTGGATATTGATGCACATTTCATTGTCAAACATTTTCAAATCTATTTTACATAATGATTTGATGCTAATCCCCACAGAAAGAATTAATTCAAAAGCCTTGAACAATAAATCTTATTCCATTAACTAATACTTTTTCTACAATGATACAGTGAATGTCCTGATGAGTTACTGTTCTTTAGGGAATTAGTGATACTGATTTTTGCTGATTTTTTTTTTAAATCCCTTCGGTAAGCAAGAGCAGACCAGTTTGTGGTTTTTCACACTTATTTTTATGAACCTTGAGAAAATACTGAGGAAATGCATGATATACAGTTCCAATGAGGAAAAAAATCGCTTTTGTTTGCCACAGCACTTTATAATGTGTCTTACCTCCCATTAATAATTGTGTTTTATGCTATTAAAAATCATCTCATAATTAAAATCCTTCGTGTTGTGGTGTTCGGAGGTTTGAATTTATATGCTTATAGTATAATAAAAATCCTTACATGAAGAATATGGCAAAACTATGCAAAGAATGTTCATGAATATTGTATGAAATCTGTTGTTCCCCAAGCGCATTGATTGTTTGAATAGAAGACAAGTGAATGGTGACTGATGATGGACTTTGAACCCTGTTGGCTTCACAGTGAATAACACAGACCCCCTGATTAAAATGCATGGAGTGCTATCAGTGTTTCTCTTTGAAGTCTTTGATGATGGGTTGAATTATAGAGGAATGAAAGGCTAGGCCTGATGATGGGCTGAATTATAGGGGAATGAAAAGAAATGTTGGTGTCGTGTTTCGCTGAAGCTTATTGCATCCTTTTTAAAAAAAGAAAGTTAATGTACAAATTGTTTTCAAACAACACTGACCTTTATCTTCTCTTCTAGAGTAACTCCTTGCTGGTTCCCGAGAGCCTGCGGGGCTCAGACAAACGTCGAAATGGACCAGAGTTTTCTAATGATATGAAGAAAAGGAAAGTTGAAGACAAGGATTCCAGCCATTACGTAAGAAATGAGTAATTTTCAATATAAAATATACTGTTTCCAAAAAGCTCAGTTCATTTAACAACTTACTAAAAAAAGATCATTTTGTGTGTTACTGTTTTTTAACTGACATTTTATCAGCTGTGTGTAGTGCCAAGGCATGTTATAAAATACATAGCAGTGCGTCGAATGCAATGTTTTCCAAGATAAAAAAAGGTTTAGTAAAGTTTTGGATCTCAAATACAATCACATTCATAGTTTATAGTTACTGTAACATTTTAAATATTTGAATTGTAAATATTACATTGCAATGTAGTAAAATACTGATGATGATCTTGATATAGATGTACTGACAAAAAGGACTTTATTTAGCTTTAAGTGCTATAAAGCACTACAGATAGTAAAGCTTTGCCAACTATTAGTGTTGCTGGCTCGTCTGTGCATAACAAAATCCTCTATTTACAGGACAGTGATGGAGACAAAAGTGATGACAACTTGGTAGTTGATGTTTCCAATGAGGTTTGTTGCTTGATTTTAGAGGATTTTTTTCTAACTTTGCTTAGAAGACTGTTATGCTTTTCCTTCAACATGAGATCCCCTCTGGGGCACTTGAGTTTGGTATTTAAACACCTTTCACTGCCAGCTCCTGGTTAGCAGCCAGGCTTTGCTACTGGCAGCAAAAATTGTTAATTTACTCTAACACTTGCCCCTTTAGAACATAGAGAATTGCCCTGTATGAGAGGAAAGTGACCTCTGAGATAGGGGGCATCAGTGTGGGTTGCTGTTAAATCTCCTGCTTCACTCCTGCTTCACCAGTCTGGTAGCTGAATTGGGAATGTGAACTCATGACCTGTCAGTGCTAAGGAAACCATAAAGTCATCACAGTGACTGCTTTGTTTGGTAATTGTTTTTGTCAAAAACGTCAGTTTGGCTCTTATTCCAAAGTTGCATTAAAATTTATTATGTCATCTGGTTTATTTTAACAGCTGTCTTAACATAGGTTTTTTTAGAATAATTTTTAATTGAAATGGAAAGTAACAAAAGCTAAATATTGTAATGTATGATCTATTTTAAAAGAAACCCATTTACAGAATGTAATGCCCATAAAAGTTTTTGCAGATGGTTAGATGTAAAATAGATGAGGTTTACTGGGAAATTCATTGCTGCTTAGATGTACCATAACTAATTTGAACACTGATTAAACCTTAAGCACTTCACTGAGCTTTGCCCTAAATGAACTCTGAAAAATGTGAACGTCTATACCTTTTTGCAAAGAGTTTGTGTATATGTGAAATAACAGCTATATTGACAGTTTGCAGAAGTATTTGAATTGTTTCAATTTCTCTAAATACAAATGTTCTTTACATCTGTTTCTGTAGTAATTGGTGACTTGAAAACAAAATTATGGTTGGAAAAGCAAGGTGGAAAGGGCTTATGTCCAGTAGTTTACCACTGGAAATGTTTTCAAAAGTCTATAAACATTTTTGTTTGGGTCAAGCTGAACTGTTGGAAGTGAAATTTCCCCTATGTGTGGGCGTGGTTACACTTTTTTTACACTTTTTTTACACTTTTTTTACACTTTTGTCCCTCTAGGACCCTGCTTCGCCACGTGGCACTCCTGCTCACTCCCCGCGCGAGAATGGATTAGAAAAAAATCGCCTGCTGAAGAAAGATGCCTCCAGTAGCCCAGCCTCTACTGCATCCTCTGGCAGTTCCTCTTCTCTTAAGTCTAAAGAGATGAGCATGGTACGTAGTGACAAGTCCATCGGACTCTGCAGTGGGATCTGAGAGCTTTGCAGCTCCTGCTCATTGGTCATATGGTTGGTCCAGGTCATTGGTCTGGTTCATGGCTCGGGGTACATACATGTTATACTATACATGCACCCATAATAAAGGCTTCAGGTCTTGATATCTCTTCCATTTCTCCATCTTAACTTAATACCAATGTGATGAAAAATTAGCTTGACAGCAAATTACTGGAGCATTGGGGGATTTTTGCATTTGAAATAGTGTCACATTTCACATTTGTATTGTCTACTATTTGTTTTAAGATCATTCTTTAATCTGTTTGTAATAACTTGCGCATTGCATCAGCTATGCATTTAAATGGAAAGTCATGCGATGTTGGAGAAATCCGGCAATTATTTCCTACTTTACTGTTTGAGGGAAAGAAGTTTACATGTGATATATACTTGAAAATCAACATTAAATCATATATGGATATTTATTTAATGATTTCAGATTTAAGAGCACAATTTCCAATGTCATTTTTTAGTGTGACCAACAGGAATAAACATTTCTCCATTTTTAAATGTGCTTTGGACACTAACCCTTTGAAAGTTGCAATCAAGTGGAATAAGAATACTTTTAAGATTTAGATGCATGGTAATTACATTATTACATTACTATTTTGTCCTTGTTAGAAGTTTAGCAATAAAACAAATAGCTGCCTTTTTTCTCCCTAAACCTTCAAGTTAATGCTATTAGCAATGTGTGGTTTTGTGAGGATTTGGCAGTATTTATTGTGTCCTGTGCCCAGCAGCCAAGCTGCTGATATGATGAATTGTATAATATGGATAAAGACCAACTATTTTTACTTGTTCAATGATAACAGCACGAAAAGGCCAGCACACCTGTGCTGAAATCCAGTACACCAACTCCTCGTGCAGACATGCCAACTCCAGGAACCAGTGCCACCCCTGGCCTGCGACCCAGTCTTTCCAAGCCTCCCTCTATGGAACTGGCCAACCAATCTGGTAAGCCATAAAGTGCTTTTCAATATGTTGTACACAGTGATGGTATTTTCACCATTTAATTAATGATCCTAGAGAGCTTCTTATATGGGAGTGGACCCACGTAAGTGCAGCACCTACCTGCATGACTGCCATTGTGTGCCAGAAAACCCACTACACAGCAGAGGAGAAGGAAAATTACAAATTTAAGACAGAAATATAGAAATTCTACAGTTCCAAAGTGGACTTCAGTCAGAACTGAACTTACCCACAGGTAACATCTCTGCTCTCACAGATAGTGCCTGGGGACCTTTACTGACCAAATAATAACTACATTGGTTTAGTATCCGAAGGACAGCACATCCTACAGCACCTTGTCCCTGGGCACCGTGCTGGGTTGTTGGGTTGGAAAGTTTTGTCTGGACAGAAGACTTACTAGTTGTTCAAAAGCTGTATGTTGAAGTCTTGCAGCACCAGAAGACCCAAAAGTTGATGTATAGATCAAGTTTAGTCAAGAATAATTTAGGTCATTAGGAGCTCAGCTGGAATGAAATATTGCAGACACACCTGTCTAAAATTAGAATTGAACTGCACTGGTTTACAAAAATCAGTCTGTCTGTACTCGGGTCGGCCGTTCCTGTCCTTGCCATAAACAGAGCCAAAATCGAACAAATATTAAAGACAACCTTAAACTTATCAGTTTGTAAAGACCAAGAACAGTTTTGATCAATTTAGTAGGTCAATTGGTTCACTTAAATTAGCAAACGCAAGCTGTAGTTCCTACGAGCTCAGGCTGTTGGCATTTTCTTTATCTAAATTAGTAGATTTAATTTAATCTTTGAATTGCCTTTGAAATTTGTACGCATTCACCTCCTTATGTGGTCCAAATTTCAGATTGGAAGATTTAAAATGATTCACAACCCAGACTGGCTCCCCAGGACCAGATTTGAGCATCTCAGTGGTCATGAATCAAAACTCTCATGACAAGAATTGTTCATTTTAAATTGTCATCAGTACTACATCAATAAGTAAATGTAGTTAGGTAACACTTTCTAATCTCAACAGAACTTTCTAGTCTGAGATCACTTGGGATATAACTGCCAGTCCTCCATGTTAATTCACAAATTAATACTGAGAGTTTTTATCAATGTAATTTTATAATCACCATCACTGAATGATTAAGATAATTAAATCTCAATGTGCAGCCAGTGTTTGGCTTCTCCTGAGATAATGTGTGACTATTTCTATATATGTGTTTGGCGATTTTATGTCCCATGTTAACAGCCACTTAGCTTACAATGGTGTTCTTGAGTGGACTTGTGGTAAACCAATGAGCTTGGAGAGGAAATTTCAGTCATGAAGAATTTTCCACTTAAGATAAGGAATGTTTTTAGGTGCGCATGTTTACAAGGTTTACTTCAGACTCTTATTGGGACGTTTGTCAATGAGAGAGAGTTTCTCTCGATTTGCAATTTATTTATTCTCAAGGGAGAAAATCTGAATGCTAACCATTTCCAAATGTATCAAAAGGACATCCTTCCTTATGTTGCAGCTTTTCTCTGTACTTTGATATTTGAAAATGATGTATATTGTGATAATATGATATGGACGTTTGTGAGTTATTCAGTAAAAAATAAAAAATGTAATATTTAGGGTATATTGTTCTACTACAGGTGAAATGTATAATCCGATATAGTACATTTATTGATATAGGCATACTCCCCACTTACATTGGGATAGGTATTGATGCCCAAGGTATCAATCATGATGTAATTTATGGAACTCACCTGTCTATACAGGCGTGTGGAATGTAAGAAGACCTCTACAGAGCCCTGAATGTTGGAATGGTTTGCTAGTTTGATAGTTATACCCATTTGTCTCTATATAAGTTTAATTGGTCCCTTATTGAGAGATGAAGAAATACAGCAACCACTTAGGCAAATTCTGGAGAGATTGGATGGACTTGTGTAAAAGAAATCTGGCGCACACATTAACAGCAAGGGATTTTGGAAACCAAAGCCTGCAGGTTAACAGATCTCATAAAGCAAGAATTCAGTTAAATCAATCAATTAGTAAGAGCTCCTTTGGAACAATATATGAATGACAAAGGGTTCATCCTGGACCACGGTTAAGAGCCACTACAGTAGACCACACTCCTATCCTGCATGGAATTGTCATTCAAGTTGTAATTACTGCCTATTCTGTGCCTTCCTAGACTATCCGTTGGCTATTGTGTCAGAGGAATGGCTGCAAATATTATTAAAGCATCCAGTTAGAATTTATTTTTTTTGGAAAGAATTTAGAATATATTTGAATCTGTTTTTTTTTTCTGTAGAGCTTAAGTATTAGATTTGTATACACTAATTTTACCTCCTACCTCTGGTTGTTTAATAAAAAAAACGGAGGACAGTTTATACCACTAATTATGCTGAGTTTAATTATGTAATATTGAAATCTACCAAGAGATAATCCGTATCTGAGTGATTGTCCAATCCCAACTTTGAGCTCAAAGTCGATTTTCACAGTTCATTTCCTGTTTTTAATAAGATACAGGAAATAATGCCTAAGAGGACATCTGACAGTGCACATGAATACAAGCGCTGTTTACTACATATGCACAGAATGATAGCAAGCTTAGGGGCCTGATCCAACACACTTACAGTCTTGCATATATTTTGTAATATTAACATGGTGAAAAAAGGCATTGTAAGCCCTAAATCAACACCTAGAGGCTGTAGTTATTTTTGAACTGCTGCGTTAAGGCTGTATATGTTTAGTAAATATAAATGTTACAAAAAATGCTATGTAGTACATTAAGACACTTCAAATATGATACAGATTTTCTTTATACAATTGTGAGCTTAGTATTGAGGGACTTGGATAGCTTTAAAGTAACAAATTCCATTTTTCCTGTTGTGACAGTATAGCTCTTTTCTTTAAATTCAAGGAAAAACTTTAAAGGTACCATTTTAAAATGGATACACATTTTCTCTTGTTTGCTATGGTACATTTACGTTACATCTTTAATACTTAACTTAATGCCTTGTTATACTTCTGAGTTTTAAGCATTATGGTTGTGCAAATATAATCCATTTAGCCACTTTTCTAAATACCACAGTAGTACTGTGCATTATGCACGTAAGTCAACACTCCTTCTCTTATGGTGCAGTTCTATCTTTATACCCCAGGGTTTGGCACAGTGCCTTGTATACACACCCATGAACCTGTCTTGTAGACTATGGAGCTTTTGTGTTTTGTTAATATGTTCGTCATTTGTTTTGAATTGCTTTCAGCTGCTGGTCTGCGAACTCCCCTGGCAGTGCCAGGTCCTTATCCGGGCCCCTTTGGGATGATGCCCCATTCTGGGATGAATGGGGAGCTGACCAGTCCCGGAGCTGCTTATGCCAGCCTCCACAACATGTCACCTCAGATGAGCGCTGCTGCAGCTGCTGCTGCGGTTGTGGCCTATGGACGTTCCCCCATGGTAAATCACTTTGTCAGGAGAATGTCTGTGTCGCAACAACGTTCTTGTGCACTTAATATATACGCCATTTTAGTATTAAGCTGCTTCCGATTTATACATCTTTTTTTCTTTTCCTGCAACAGCATCACTTCTTTTTTTTACACGTTAGTTTGATAAAAGGTGATTCACTGCCATAGTTCTGCTATAGACTATAGTGGCAATAGTAAAGATGAAACAATAGTGAACATTTTTCTAGAGCTCAGCGGTATACAGTAATACATACATGCATATCACACTGTAAAGAATAGCCACCTACAATACAGATATTTTTATGAGATACATCTAGAAATGATGCAGATAATTTAAAGGTTTTGTTACATTATGCAAACTAGAAAAATATTTAAATGTACCCTTAACTCCTGTTGGAAGAACAAATACCTTTATGATTAACAGCAAGAAATAATATGGGTTCTAGTTTACCCTAGCTAATTTTGTCTTCATTTATTCATTTTTGTAGTTTGTCTATGAAATATATTAATGCACTAATTGAAAATGATTTGCAATTGAACAGTATTCAATATACCAAGTCATTTTTATGTCAACCAGAATCATCTAGTAGATTTTTATTAAGTGTCTAAAAACTGGAAACATCAACTCCTCTAAATTTAAGCAACGTATAAGGTTTGGGATACCTAATTTTCCATGTTGCAGATTTGTAACTTGTACAATTTTATTTTGCATGTTAAACTGGTTTCCTTAACAACAGCAACAACAAAAAAACACATTTGAGAAACTTCCATATTTAAATATGACGTGTAAAATTACAGTTTTGCCCATAGCATGTTAGTTTTAGAATACATGAATTATTCATCACTGGAAATGACTAAGTAGGATAAAAGCTTTACACAAAGAATTATTTCCCACTTTATTTTACTTGGCTTAAAAAATACATGCACAAAAGGAAAAAAAATAATAGTCCACAATATTTCCTATTAGCTGTTTAAAACAGGGATATTGTACATGTCATAACCTAGCTTTTGTTTTGATTTTAGGTTGGGTTTGACCCACATCCTCCTATGCGAGTACCAGGAATGCCTCCAAATTTGGCAGGAATCCCTGGAGGAAAACCGTAAGTGATCTTCGTTATCACAAAACAAACAGCGGCTATATTTTTAGGTCTTTGTTTACAACTGTACTGTGGTTTAATGAAGACCTGCAGGTTAAGCACCTGTATATCCGGGCTTTCCACATTGATTGTGACCCATCTCAATGATGTCTGGGTTTGTCCAGGATATTAAAACAAACCGGATCTGGTACAGTGTAAAAGTTAAATCTAGAGCAGCTAAATGCCAAGTATCCTTCATACATGGGTTTTCTAATAATTTAAGCACTTTTTTTGTATTGAGCTGAAGGAAAAAAGACCTTCTTCTAAATTTTTTCTCATGATTATCAAATATTGCTACTACATTTGAAGAGGTAGAAAGCTATGATTCCTACATCTTGAACATAAATGCTTTTGTTGAGCCTGTGGACATGCATGTAGCATGTCTTCTCTGGGTAGCTTTGTTTGCCTGTTTACTTTTTATCTCTTGGTTTTGTACTAATTGAACTGCTGAAGAAGCAAAACGCCTTTTTTTTTTGCTTAGGTGAAGTTTTAAAAGGAAAATGTAGAAAAGAAAATCTCTTGCGTAACTGACCTCTGTAGCTCATATTCCTAACGGACATTTTCCTCAGTGCATACTCCTTCCACGTCACTGCTGACGGCCAGATGCAGCCCGTCCCCTTCCCTCCCGACGCTCTGATTGGCCCAGGGATCCCGCGGCATGCCCGACAGATCAACACCCTGAGTCACGGAGAGGTGGTGTGCGCCGTTACCATCAGCAACCCCACCAGACACGTGTACACCGGCGGCAAGGGCTGTGTGAAGGTCTGGGACATCAGCCAGCCGGGCAACAAGAGCCCAGTGTCTCAGCTGGACTGTTTGGTAAGTGAAAGGGACCTTCTGTTCTGGGCCAGTCACTCTGTGAAGACTTAACCAGGAAACGGCAATCACAGCCTGGGTGGTACAGCACATCACTCAAAAAAAAGGAAGTGCGACTGAAGGCCATTTCCTTTGTCAGCACAAATGGCTGCCTTCTGAACCATTCTCACTTTGCTGTCTTTATGTGGGTATGTTTGTAATAAAAATAGGCATTGTAGAAATAGTTTCCTCTGATTGACTTTCCGGGGTTAAATTTAAAATGCCATATAGCAGTGTTGGCATCTGTCACTATGAATACTCCTAGAGATGTAAATCTCTCTAGATAGTATTGCTTAGTGTCCTTGCCGAGTCTTAGTGGTATACCAGAATGGTTTTAGCTCAGACTGTTATTTGTGATTAGAGCTTGTCCTTTATAATCCTTAGCCTGTTTGCTGCATTGTATTGTAAAATGCACTTAAACTTTTGTTATCTTTATTAATTGTAGCTCTCCATTAATACAGGCAAGTACAACAGCACAAGAAAGCTTGCTCTGTAAAGATCATATGGATGGAAATTTTAGGACAATCTTGGGAAGAAGCAGAATTTTCTGCCTAGAAATAGTGGTTTTCAAAATTTTGAGAACTTTAGTTCAAGTATCTGCTCTTTAGAGCAATGCTCCAGATAGCTAGTAACAATTGACCTGTCTTAGCAGGTTCATAACAAATGCAGTGCCACATTGCATGCTTTTTGAAAAAGCCTATTTAAATGCCATTCTTTTTTTCATATCCAAAATATAAATCTACCCCTGTTCTGGTAGTTTTTATACAGTACGTGTATATTTCCAGTATTACTGGCAATGATGGGGATGGATGATTTCAGGCTAGAAAGAATTCTCCAGGAAATGGAGCACTAGACGAGTTTCTCATAGTGAGATTTCTGTATATGCCCCCCTCAGTATCTCGTTGTCCCCTATTTTATATTTTCTTTTTTCCTTTTGGGGGGTTACCATGCAGAACAGGGACAACTACATCCGCTCCTGTAAATTATTGCCAGATGGCTGCACCCTGATTGTTGGTGGGGAGGCCAGTACATTATCGATCTGGGATCTGGCAGCTCCTACCCCGCGCATTAAGGCCGAGCTGACGTCCTCGGCTCCCGCCTGCTACGCACTGGCCATCAGTCCTGACTCGAAGGTCTGCTTCTCCTGCTGCAGTGATGGCAACATCGCAGTGTGGGACCTGCACAACCAGACTCTGGTCAGGTGAGGCCTGCTCTCTCAGAATACATAGATATCCCTCAGAAACACATATCGTCATTTGTTATATGCAATTCCAGCTCTATTCAGTATTCTGAATTATTTCTAGGATGCTTATTAATTTTAACAACTCTTGTTTTATTACCTGCTGAATAGCGTTAAAATTACTAATTTATTTTAACAATCTGGAAATCTCAACCCAAGGATTAGCAAATTAAATTGTTAATTATATAAAGACGAAATGATTGGTCTCCAGTGGAATATTCAGCTCAAGTAGCAATTTGTCTGATGAGCCGAGTGTCTGAGACAGTCTCCAGTTAAGAGTCCCAGTTGTAACGAGTTGCCAACCTCAGCTGGAGATCTACAGGAGTGAGAAATTGGCATCTTGCTTCCTAGTGCTGAGGGAGCAAATGTCATGAGTTTGAATCTCATCTCGTTGTGCCTATGCTATACACAAGCCCCGAGGGGGGAGAGGCGACTTGGATGGATCTGAATTCTCCAGTGCTCCATAAATTAGCATGGGTGGGTTGAAACGGAAACTGAGTAATCAGTGAGATAGGGTGATATTCATATTGTGTGTATGTGTGGGTTGAACTGCAAGATCTCAGTGTGTTGTGAAAAAAACTGGTAGAGACAAAGGAGGTGTGTGTTTGGGAGGAGGAGGTACTTAACTAAATTGTTGAAGGATTAAAGGTGTTTATCATCCTGATGCATGCCGAAAGACTATTTTTAGATTTCTCATCCTATCCAAAGATGATCATCCTTGTTGTTAATTAATCAGAGATCTTGAAGGGTTTTAATGTTGAACCTTGAGGTTTACAAACAATAACTTTAAAACAAACCCGTATTAGCTGGAATCAGTGAGATGTTTTATTTTGCCAGCTGCATCCTGGTTTGCTTTCTTTCCACCTGGGAAATGTTTACATAATATAAGCAGACTTCACGTTACACCAAAATTTGTTTATCCAAATGCTTCACTAGACATTGGAAAAAAAAATAAAAAGATGCGTTTATATGGGGTCCAAAACTAACAACATTATTGTGTTTGCTTTCGGCTTGGTCAGGAAATCTTTATTCATCTCTTATTTATTTTATCAGGCAATTCCAGGGCCACACGGATGGAGCCAGCTGTATTGATATTTCCAATGACGGCACCAAGCTGTGGACGGGAGGCCTGGACAACACAGTAAGGTCCTGGGACCTGAGAGAAGGCAGACAGCTACAGCAGCACGATTTCACTTCACAGGTGAGCTGGAGAATACAGACCAGTATTAAGTCAGAGCAATGTTCTGATAAGTAAAACCCTTTCCCTGAAACGTTTAAGTATTTATCTTTGTGTCTTATTAGACTGTTGTTTTTATTTTTTTGAAAAGCTCAGTTTTAGATTTAGTCTTTCCCATTGTTCTCACGTTATAAATACAACAAATGTTGTGCTACTTTCCTGAGCTGAAAAACATATTTTTGTTAATTGTAAATTATCCATACGCACAGTTAAGAATGATTCAAGAGGTCAGTTGGGAGCATTCCATGTTTTACATAAGACACAAAAAATGTTGTACTTATTGTAAGCATACTGTATATAATTTGCAAGTCATTACCTTACATTAAAAATGCATTCAAATGTATTTTTCCAACAAATGGTACACTTAAATAGATGTATAACCAATTAAACCGCTAGAAACTCACTTCAATTCAAAGTTCTGGCTACTGTAAAAGTAAATGCAGAAGAGAGTAAGTTGTTAGAAACTGGTTTCAGAAAGTGTTCAAGGGAATGTATCAAAATATAATCTCTTGTAATTCATCCAAACCAGCACCAGTGACTAATCTATTAATTAATTAGAACTGCAGTTTTATGTTGACAATCTTGTATAGCTGGGTCACTTAGCTACTTGTGAAAAGTGAAGCAGTTTAAATGGCACTGCAGAAGGTATTCCAGGCTTTACATCATGTACCATGAAACCCGATAAAATCGATTTTTAAAAATGGAAATAAAGAAACACATCAAAAGACAGTAACAATCTGCTTGGTGTGGAATCAGCATGAATGTCTTTGTCCCAAAGCATAAAAAGGTTACAAAAAACAGGAAGGCATACAGCCCACTTAACCTGTTTGTTTTCTAGTTGCTAATTGATCCAAGTATCTCATCTATATAGTTCTTGAAAGAAGTGGTATCACCTACAACGGCATTGAAGCTTTAAGCCATGTCACTTAGTGGTCGGCTGCACTTTATGAAAACCACAAGACCAGAAAATGTTCTACACCTCTTTGCCTTGACATCATGTGGTTCAGGCATGGCTTCAACTGACTTAGTTTCCTAACCAAATGATTAGTCACTGAATGTAGGCTAATAAGAATGCAAAGGACTTTTCCAGAATCTGAAAGGGTGAATTATCTGTCTCCCTTGTATACAAGGTCCCTTCTGCTGTACTACAGGTATACTGCCAGCGCTTTACTGTAGTAATGTAAGACATTCTGCAGTTTGTGACGATATATATGGATTTGAAATTAGTGACCTTTCCTGTGTGATTCCAGATCTTTTCCCTTGGTTACTGTCCCACCGGAGAGTGGTTGGCAGTAGGAATGGAGAGCAGCAATGTTGAGGTCCTACATGTAAACAAACCAGACAAATACCAGCTACACCTTCATGAAAGCTGTGTGCTCTCTCTACAGTTTGCCTATTGTGGTAAGAACCTGCAAGACAGTAATCATTATCTTAAACTTTTTATAGGTTGTGTACTTGGGGGGGAAAAATGATGGAATGAACAATCTTTACAAATTCAAATAAGTTTTGTTACAATGAAGTTCTCTTGTATTACTAGGCAAGTGGTTTGTGAGCACTGGAAAAGATAATCTCCTGAATGCCTGGAGGACGCCCTATGGAGCCAGCATATTCCAAGTACAGTTGAATTATCTTTATTTTTAATTTGTTTTATTATGTATGAGGTTTGTTTTGCAGTTTTACTAACTAATGAAATGTTACTTTTTTTTTCTTGTTGAGACAATAAGTAAAACATTGCAGCAGTGAAAGTCAGTAATGTCGATAAAGAGCCTCCAAAGCTTGAAGCTGTCCTATTGCACACTATTGCAGTTAGGCTTATGGCTCACCTTGAATCACCTGTTTTTTTTTAAGATTAGAAACCCCTATAAGTTGGTTAATTGATCAATAACTTAAGTTTTGAAATGCAGTATCCCAAATGATCTTTTTAAAAAATTCTTTGTTTCACTGTTCACAGTGTAAATGTGGATTTTCAAAATTGCTGGCTTTAATATACTACCTATAAAACCTGCTGGAAATGGGCTTTCTAGTAGAAGGGTTGGAGACCTCTCAGATCAAAGCAATGGACTATCCAAATATTATTTGGGCTCCTGTTGCATCATAAAGTCTGTCACAGACATCTAAAGTAGAGCACATAAATAATACTTGTAACAGACTTCAAAAGATAACACTTTATGTTGCTAAGTGAAAGTAAGCAGTTTTAATTTATATTACAGCTTTAAAGACAAATCATAAACATTTAGAACCGTTTTGGCGTATTTTTACCAACTTTTTTTGCTTATTGCTATAAAGACTTATGCTATAGATTGGCTGCATTGCATACTGTAACTGTCGATCAATGACTGAAGAAGAGGTGGATTACCAGCTGATGGGAAAGTTTAAGGTTCTAAGAAAAGAGAAGGATGCAGGTCTCAGAATAAAGCTGACAATTCTGAAACGTAATAAGAATGATACATTCTGTAGGGTCTACTGTCAAGTATAAACTAAACCACTATTTAGTCAATTTGCTAACTAGTAATATTTTACTTGACCATTTAAAAAAAATACTCTTTATTCACTACATATCTCTGTTCTCTCTCTCTCTCTCTCTCTCTCTCTCTCCTAGTCTAAGGAGTCCTCCTCAGTACTTAGCTGTGACATCTCTGTGGATGATAAATATATTGTCACAGGCTCTGGGGACAAGAAGGCCACAGTTTATGAAGTTATCTACTGAATACCAAAGGCGTTTTTGTACCTTATACATCTGAAGAGGGCCAAAGCCTCAATGTTCCTAATAGTATAACACTCACCAGATTTTCTGGATGTTTTAACTTCTCCCTGTGATTTGAGATTACAATCCTGAAGCACGCTGACATTTTACCTGAATGTGTAAAGTGACAGGTGAACTGGGTGGACTACAGGAACTCCTGAGAAATACTTGGAAAACTGGGATTTGGACTTGTTTTACTAGACCTTCGGTCTTCAGAAGAATGTCATACACCTTTGTGACCTCAACTAGCTTTATTGCCTGACTGTGTGGCATTGCCTCTTTCAACAACCATTCATTCTTCTAAATGTACGACAGTGGCGTTTCAGAAGAACTTGTTCCTCTTTTGGCATCTTGTGATACGTTTTTGTATTTTTGTTTTAGGTCAAGAATTTGTACAAACTGTAAATATTTGGTTTATTACAGTAAAGGCTTTAGTAACAGAAATGTTTGGTATGTCTTTTTATAAAAAATAACATAGCAAAGATAACACTTCGTCTAAATTCTATCTAATATAATTTGATGGTTTCATCTACACAATAAATGTTTTTTTTCCTAACAAAATGAAACTTCTCATTTTATGGATGATTTTGTTCTTTTAATAAATATATCTGCATTATTAATGTCAAAGAGCTGTATAATAACTGGGCTTAATCCAGACAATTCATAAATGTAATTGAAGTGATTGTTTCATGAAATATTTCACATTTTGTTTCCGTATAACAACAAATCTCAGGTATGCAAATGCATATTTAAACTATTTAAAATCTACTGTCAAATGCAGGACACATGTACATTTTATTTCTTAAATGGGCATAAGCAACCCATTTGCCCGCATATATAGCTACTGATTTCTATAGAACAAAACAAACCCTGTAATGTTTTGAATTTTCAGGAATAAATAGGTGGTCTTCTCTAGTTTTACTGAGGTCTTGGCATTTGTTGATGTTATAGTTGTGATAATTTACTGGACTTTAAATTAAAGAGGTTTCAGTAGCACAGAAATGACAAACTTTATTTTCATTGGTGGTTACTTCATAATTTAGAGATCTGCACTTCATGATATCCTGAACAAGTAATACCATTTTTGAATTACTGCTGCTTAGTCAAGTTTGAACTAAGGCCATCCTTGAATAAACACTGCCTTAAAAATGAATTGCTTGGCTCAGGTAATCATTCATGTTTTTTTTCTGTTATTGACTGCTAATTAAAATATTAAATGACAAGGAAACATTACAACCATATGTCAAAATATATACTGATCATTATCTTACCACTCTGCATGTATGTTTTTAGCAAGTATGACTGTTAATGATGCTATGCACTGAATTGACTTTGTTACATCACTCATTAGTGAGGCAATTGATTGGGATGAGGTAATTTAAACTATTGAATGCTAAACCAAGAGGAAGGAATTCTTTACTTATCAAGGTATTATGTAGGCTACCGTGCCAAGTGTTGCATAGACATGTGGAACAATAAACTAATAGTTGCATACAATGGACCAATTGAAGTGGTCAAAATGTGCAGGTGTCTTAAAATTCAAGTCGTAACGGAACACTTACGATGCTTAGTTGCAACTTGGCTGCACAATGTTACATCAACCAAATCCTGCAACTTAATTTGTTGACCCTCATTCAGACTCATTGTAACAAAACAAAATTCCAGTGTGACAAGATACATCTTTGTTCTATTTGCATAACAAATGATTTCTTAGAAGGCGAGAATGTGACATTTACACTGTGGATGTCCGGCTTGCCAGTCATTAAGGGGAGAAGCAACATTAAGTTTGTAGGTTATAATGAATCGGGAATGTTGTGTGCATTTCAAACCACAATGAAACTCCCAAGTGCACTGTAATGTGTACAGCCTCAAATTTACATCACAAAAGAGACTAAATTTCAATGTATGTGTGGCAACATATTGCCATGATTGTCTGTGGTTCTGAACCACAACAA